TGTGGATGGTTTGCCTATAGATTGCTTTTGGAGGCTGTGGTGCATTCAGCTACAAACCCCCTCTGTAAGCACATCAGAATCACTTTAACCTGTTTACAAGTGGCAAAGAAATTGTGACCTGTACCAAGAAAACTTCGTGAAACTTGACAGTTCCTGTTCTTGAATCTAAAGACTATTGTTGTGGTTTTTCTCTACAGAAAAGTGGAAAATTAGGGAGGATCCATTGCTTCTCATTGCAAGCAGTGATCCTCGGTAAAGCTAAAGCCTCATTAAATGAGTTTCAATGGGCCAAGTGTTCCTTTTGTAGGAGGGAATTAGAAGTCATTCAGAAAGATTATAATAAAACAAAGATTACTTCTGGAACTTTAGAAAGTCACTTGTTCAAATCGAAAGAATTTAAAAAGATTTTAAAACCACTGAAGGTAGAGAGAAGTGATAGCATTTTTCACGTTAGCAAAATTAAAATTACCTTTTATTTAAAATTTATCATTCTTTTTTTTTTCCCCCTTACATCCCTGAACTACTCTTAAAACAGCAGAATGTCATCAGAAGAGGCCTAGAGTAGGAATCAGTGGACTGTTCTTGTCTCCAGTATTTATTAGCTGACTGACATTGGCAGTGTCCACCATCTCCCTAGTGCATTATCCAAAATGTAAAGAGTTTTCTAGGTGATTTCAAAGTCCCTTTCCAGTTTTAGCCTTTTATAGTTTTCTATCTTTTTAAAAATGCATTCAACTCAATTAAAAATTTGCATACAAACTTACAGAAAAATGATAATACAAAGTGTTGAATTCATATTTTATGTGGATTTTATGTGAAAATTCATTCATTTTTGGAGATAAAGAAAGTGAAATTCAGCTTAAGTAGGCTAGCAGTATTAAAAAAAATTAAACCAGCTACCGTCGAGTCAATTCCGACTCATAGGCTAGCAGTTTAGTATATTTGAAATAACCCAGGTTTAAATTCTAGCTCTGAAACTTCTCTAAGTAACTTCTGAGGGAAGTTACTTAATCTCTCCTAAGCCCTCTGTAAATGGGGATAATAAAAAATAATACTGACCATATAAGATTGTGATAGTTAAATGAACTATTTATATAAACCACCTAATGCTATGCCTGGTCCATGAGTGCAAGATAAATAGTAACTCTTATTTAAGAATTTGCCCCAAATCACGTAGCTAGTAAATCAGAGCACTTTTTATGAAGTTTTAAGTTCCAAGCAGGAGTCTGTAACTAAAAATGACTTTTAAAATCACAGTATTTGTAAACTCAGTAAGAAATATACAGGTCCCATCCAGTTCTATGGTTACTTGAGTTAGCTTGATAAAGTTCTTGGTTGACTTTGTTGAGGTCCTCTTGGCTTCTCTTTGTGGTCACAAGATGTCTGCTGTAGTTTTATGTGTCACATTCTCACACAGTAGTATCCAAAAACAGGAAAAGGGTCTATCTTCTCTGTTTTATTGTTGTGTGCCATGAGTCAATTCCGACTCATAGCAGCCCTGTAGGACAGAGTAAACCGTCCCATAAGGTTTTCTAGGCTGTCATCTTTACGGAAGGAGCCCTGGTGGCACAGTGGTTAAGCACCTGGCTGGTAACCAAAAGGTCAGCGGTTCAAACCCACCAGCCACTCCGTGGGAGAAAGATGTGGCAGTCTGCTTCTGTAAAGCCTTGGAAACCTTATAGGGTGGTTCTTCTCTGTCCCATAGGGTTACTAAGAGTCAGAATCAACTTGATGGCAATGGGAATGGAATCTTTATGGCATCAGATCACCAGGTCTTTTCTCCTGTGGAGCGGCTGGTGAGTTCATACTGCCGACCTTTTGGTTCGTAACTGAGCACTTCAGCACACTTTCTCAAAAATGCTCCAGACTTATGTTGCATTGGCTGTTTGTCCCTTCCTAAGCATAGAGGAGTAGGATTAACCAGATTGCCTCAGTCTAATAAAAATCTTCTCTCTTTGAGGCAGGAGATAGTGTTAACTTCCCTGAATACAGGACAACATAGAAGGTGAACATCTGAAGAGATTATCAGCAGTAAAGAAAGCAGATGGAGAAAGAATGATTTGGGTAGTTATTTTACATCTGTTGAGGTGTCACTGAAAGCTAGACTTTCCAAATTATGAAAAGTTCAGATATTTGCCAGCTATTATTCATCATATGTTATCACATAGACCACAAAAAGGAAATTTTTCCTGGAATTGTATTCCTCAGAATAGAATAAGTAATGTGCCTGCGTTGAGACACAATGTTTTGCATTATTTTTTCTCTCCTTAATGTACCTCCTATATGTCTTAGAGGAGCCCTGGTGACACAGTAATTAAGAGTCTTGCTGCTAACCTAAAAGTCAGCAGTTTGAATCTACTAGTCGCTCCTTGGAAACCCTAAAGGGTAGTTTTATTCTGTCCTATAGGGTCTCTGTGAGTTGGAATTGACTCAACAGCAATCAGTTTTGGTTATAGGTGTTAGAAGTGAATTAAGTCTTGTTACAGTGAATTCCAAGGGATTCCCAAGTTGACTGAATTTCATTTCAGTGACTTTCATTTCTCGGGAGTGGGAAATATGTCTGTACTACAGAGATTTTTATTTTTAATGATTAGATTTTGTCCTGTGTAAGGATTAGAAATAATCCAATTATAATTAAGAAAAATTTTGAATATGATAAATATTTTTGAAGTGGAAGGTTATAATTTTAATTCGATGCAAAAATCAAGAATGTGTTATATGTTTTTCTACAAGAAAGTATACGTACCCTCCTATGGAGCTGTTTCCTACAGAGCACAGCTTTTCTCTGACACATGAGTTTGCCATGAGTCAGAGTCAACTCCATGGTAACTGGTTTATGGGGTTGTTTAATCAAATAGAATGGTTATATTCCAGCTTCACACTAAGGGACAATTCTTTTTTGTTGTTGTTGCTGTTGAAAATATACTCGGGGAACATCTAGCTCAGTGGGCATAATACAGTTTATAATGTTCTACGTTGTACCTTGGTGAGTAGCATCTGGGGTCTTAAAAGCCTGTGAGCAGCCATCTAAGATACTGCACTGGTCTCACCCCTTTGGAGCAAGGGAGAGTGAAGAAAACAAGAGACCAGGGAAAAGATTAGTCCAAAGGACTAATGGACCACAACTACCACGACCTCCACCAGACTGAGTCCAGTGCTGGATGGTACCCAGCTACCACCACTGACTGCTCTGACAGGGATTACAACAGAGGGTCCCAGACAGAGCTGGAGAAAAATGTAGAACAAAATTCTAACTCACAAAAAAAGACCAGATACTGGCCTGACAGAGCCTGGAGAAATCCTGAGAGTATGGCCCCCATACACCGTTGTAGCTCAGTAATGAAGTCACTCCCAAGGTTCACCGTTCAGCCAAAGATTAGACAGCCCCATAAAAACAAAACAAGACTAATGGGGCACAGCAGCCCAGGGAGAAGGACTAGAAGGCAGGAGGGGACAGGAAAGCTGGTAATAGGGAACCCAAGGTCGAGAAGGGAGAGTGTTGACATGTTGTGGGGTTGTTAACCAATGTCATAAAACAATATGTATGCTAACTGTTTAATGAGAAACTATTTGTTCTGTAAACCTTCATCTAAAGTACAATAAAAATAAAAATAAAAAATACACAGCAAAACATGTACCAATTCAACAATTTCTACATGTACAATTCAGTGATACTGGTTATATAAAGTTGTGCAGCCATTTTCACCGTCCTCAGCCAATAACATAAACTCGCTGCTCCCAAAGCTTTCTTTCTTTCTAACTTTGCGAGTTGCCATTGTCAATTTGATCCTGTATAGTTGTTTAAAAGAGCACAATGCTTAAGGCAGACATCCTTTACTAATTAAGCTAAACTATTGTTTGGTTTAAAGAAGACTTCAGGGGATATTTTTGGTTTAAGGTTTAAAGATTATCTCAGAGCAGTAATTTCAGGGGTTTATCCAGCCTCGGTGGCTCCAGAAAACCTGGATTCCATGAGAGTTTGAAATTCTGTTTCACATTTTCCCCCTTTTTTTATCAGGATTTTGTTACAGAATCTTTGATCAAAATGTTCAGTAATGGTAGCCAGGCACCATCCAGTTCTTCTGGTCTCATGGCAAAGGATGTAGTTGCTCAAGAAGGCAATTAGCCATGCATTCTATTTCCTTCTATTCCTGATTACTTTATTGCTGCAGACCAATTTTTGTACCTTGGATGGCTGCTTGCAAGCTTTTAAGACTAAGGGGCAATTCTTACTATCAGTCTTTTTTTTTCTTGTTGTTGTTTTTTTTTTCATGATTATTTGACAGACCAGGGTTACACAGTGGGTATATTACTCCATGTTGTATAAATGATTGTGCTTTAAGTAGAATCAGGTGTAGTGAATTCATTTATGAACTGAGATGGTCATATGGATCTTGTCAAAGGGCAGAGACCTTTCAAAATATTCCTAGTAAGCCAACACATTAAACGGGCTTCATGACACTGCATATGTGAACAGACAACCTTGTTTTGCAGACTGGTAGTGTTTAATATCCAGTTAAGTCCCCTCAAAATACCATTAAGAAGCTGTGTGGTATAGGGGTCATTATGCTGCTGTGACTGTGGTATCATAATAGTTAAGGAGAATACTGTAAATTGTGCCATTGTATTCTTCATAGCGCACATAGCGGTGTATTTTCTACATCTGTGTACACAGTAGTGTGTAGCTTTATGTACGTAAGATCGTGTATATTGTGCTTTACGGGCAATATAAGAGCTTTCCTAGGGTAATTTGGACTTTTTACAATTCTGTCTTTACTGGCTGACTGTAGAACCCAGTCATGAATAAGATAAGACACTACTGAATAGACTGATGTTTGCTGTAAGCACTATGCAGCCACGTTTTTCTTTATAAAGGTAGTGACAACTAATTTGCAATGTTTGATTTTTTTTTTTTTTGGTCCCCCCTAAGAGAGCCTGTAGTTACCTTATTTGTGTGTATACAGAATGACACCCATGTAAAAATTTGTGCTTTTGTTCAGGCAACTCGGTGTAACTGCCACCAAAAATCTAAAGAGGAAAAATACACGTATGCCGATAAATACACCCAAACACCCTGGAGAAGAATTTCTGTGAGTACCATATGCCCTTAACCTTTTCTCCTGTCGTTTACTGTTTTGATGCTTTGTTCCACCCATTCTACTCTAATCTCTAATAATTTTTAATTTGTGTTGGCTGTTAATTTATTTTAGGTAAGCTTCCCTCCCATCTTGGTCCCTTAGATGTTTATGTGCTTTCTAAAGCTTTTCTTATGTGTTTTGTGTAAATGAACGTGCATTTAATAGCTTTTCCATTCTGCAAACTGTAGCTTATTTTGTTTGAGTGTCTAATCTTCTCTCACTGCATGTACTTAAGGGAATAAGATTTCCACATGTCCTAAGAGAAACAGAAGTCCAATATGCAGTATTCCTTCTTTAGCAGCATATGACACTTTAAAAATATATGATGTAGCATATTCCTTTTTTTGTTGAAACCTTTCAGATATGCTTTATTATAATTACTCAAATGTTGAGGCTGTTAGAAAATATCAATGCATTAAGACAGTGTATGTTACGTGTTAGGCATAGTTAGGGTAGAAAGCAGCCATCTACTTGAATCTGTGCTTATTTATCATTTTTCCAAAAATATTATCTGTATATATCTCAAAACATATTTAGTGCTAAAAATACACTGATTATAATTTAATCAGAGTTCTCCACAACTCAGTTCAGAATGTGCCTGAGCCAGAGAATCATCATTATAGCCGTCAGTTACCATTATCCTATTGTATAGTGGCCGGTAATAGACGTTTCTTACTAAGCGGATGCTTGGGAAGCCAGCCTTGACTCATCTTTTGCCTTATATTTAGCGGTGGAATCATAGTAGCACAAATGAGTAGGGAAATATATTAGTTATTGTAATCAGTGATCTCATTTATAAAACTATAGGCCTTTAAAGTATAAAATAGTTGTTTCTTTTCGTCAACAAATAATTACCTTTTGTGTATACTCTGTATAAGGTGGTTCCATGCTAGGAATTAATTTATTCAACAAAAGTTTGGTGAGCCCCTCCTATCCTGGCTCTTGAAATGGGGGATTGAGGGAGGAAATACACAGATGAGTAAGGATTCCCCATTAACAAGTTCATATTAAAGGAACTGGTGATGTATTGATATAGTTAAAGTGCAGGTAGTTCTACCAGGTTCACAGGATTGGGAAAATCTTGCTGGAGGAATCAAGGAGCTTGGTGAAGAAGGTGATGGTAGTGTTTAAATCATAGAAAGAAAAACACAGAAAGGGCTTGCTTGGTAGTCAGTTGTGATGTGATTGAACACAGAGATGATATAAAATTTCTTTAATGTCAAAGGATATGGAGACAATTACAAAATAAAAGACCATGCCCCTTGCTTCTAGATGAAGGTGTGGGTTTCCTAGGTTTCTCCAAGTGTGCCTGCAGACGGATGATGTCGTTAAGTGTGAGAAATTCATTTTGCAGTTGTCATGGGAGTCTTTATATCCTCTCTGGCTCCCTCAGCCTCACTGTTCTGAAACTGGCTATTAGTCAGCCTGCTCACCAGGTAAAAGTAACAAGAATAAAACAACCCCAATACATTCCTGAATATATTCCTGAGTTAGTTTTACTATAATCCTAGATGATGTGGAGGTCAGTTTTTCAGGCCTAGCATCCCTTAGGAGCCCTGTGGTGCAGTGGTTAAGAGCTATGGCTACTAACCAAAAGGTCAGCAGTTCGAATCCACCAGCCACTCCTTGGAAACCTTATAGGGCAATTCTACTCTGTCCTATAGGGTCGCTATGAGTTGGAATCAACTGCAGTGGGTTTGGTTTAACAGGTTTAGCATTCCTTAACAGACCTAGACTTCAGGCTTTCCTGATAACTGTTTCTGTAGAAATCACCTGGGCCAGTACCTTCATTTTGTAGGTAATGTAACAAAAGCCAGGGAAGTTAAATGGCACATTAAAGTTTCTATAGTTAGTAAGTGGCTAAACTAGTACTATAACTTAGAACTCCTGATTGGTAGTCCAAGGTTCCTTCCCCTGGAAGCACACTGAGGAGCCTTAAAGGAGAGATAGAGACTTTGCATGTTGAAATGGGAGGAATATCTGTGGCAAAAGGAACAGTATAGATAAAGGCAAAGAGGTGGGAAGAGATCTTTAGCCAATAGTAAGTACGTGATTTTGTCTGGGATAGCAAAAGTTAGTATAAAGCTCGTTATAAGGTACAATTCAAATTTTTATCCAGTAATTGCTTGAAAAGTAGTTTACTAACTTATTTATTTAGTTAAATATTAATATGTCTGTTATCTGATTTTTCCATTCTCTGGACTTAATGGAATTTATTTGAAATAAATTACTATAATCTACTATAATGTAGTATAGTTACTATTCTTTTATA